GTCTGCCTGTTAACATGCTCATTATGGCCTGGTTGGAAGGCAGAAAGGCAGAAGGCAGAAAGAGAGCATAAGCGGCAGAGCCAGACAGAAACTGAAACTCGTTCATGACTTCACTTCAATTATAATTACGTCAAACAGTGCAACAAGAAAATGTGCAACTCGAGGCAAACAAGATAGAACGAGAATGGGAATGGGAAAGAGAGTGGGGACGAAAAGCAGGACTCGTCGCAGGACTCGACTGCTCGACAATTGTGTGCGCAAGGGGGCGAGGGGGATGGGGAGATAGAGAGACAAACAACTTGAAAGTGAGCATTTCCTTTTAATGCCTTTTGCTCATTTTTTCCTCTCGTTCTCTGCTCCTTTTTTTTGTTTTATATTGCATTACATTTGCTCTGCCAGAGAACATTAAAAACAATGCACACAGAAAAGAAGACTCGTCCTGGCAACATTATATCCAGCCAGAGGAAGAAAACTGTTTTTGAAGAAAACTCATAATTGCTTGGCACAAATTGCAAGTTATAGCCAAAGTTGGCGGAGCAGGAGAAAGAGAGCAAAGGACGTCTAACCATGGGCATTCATCAAATAACTTTTTCGCCCCGGTCAGGTGGTCGTTGGTCCTTGGTCCTGGGTCCCTGCGAAATTTCCACAATTTCTGAAACGAAATGAGCTGATAAGGTGGGCTAATCGAACCGCCCGTTGGCATTCTGCTTGTTTGCCATGCAAAAGTAAACTTAAAGCTCGGCAATCCACTCGGTAGCAATGCACTTACTCCTACAAATCGCTTGCCGTTGTTTTCGGTGGGCCCTCTGTGTGTGTAGGAGGGATATTTGCCTGGGGCAACAAAACATAGTCATCGAGTCATACGGCCATCTATATATCTATCTATTTGGAGGGCCGGCAGTCGGTGGTCGGTGGGCGGGCAAGTCATCCATTCAGCCGGCCATCCATCTATCCATCCATCCATCCATCTATGCAGTGCAGCAAGTCATGCAGCGAAGCTCGCTGACCCGCACGATGAAGCCTTTGTCCGTCCGACTGTCTATCGTCCTGGCACCACCCATTATCCTCCAGCTCCTGCTGGCCAGATCCTGCATGCATTTGGCTTTACAAACAATATTTGCCGTTGCTCTGGCTGTTGTTGTTGTCTTCACACAACAAACTACATCAGGCTCAGGACTCTGCTGGCTATTTGGAAATCCTCTTTTTCACTTTTCAGAGACCGCCCGCCCCTCCGAAAACCCCCCGAAAGGCCCGCCCCTAGAACAAACTAATATGCTATGCTTAAAGCGTACATATTGGACTTATAGTTGTTGTTGCCTGTTGTTATTTTTGATGTTGTTTGTCTGCCGAGGAGGAGAACAAAAGGCCTCCTGCTGCTGTCATATTTCGTGTTTCCCACTCGCTCTCTCTCTTTTACTGAAAGGAGTCGCCCACTGAGGGTCCAGAGCCAGGACGACCCCGGAGTTCACGTTGACGGACCCCGAAACGCTTTGCCTGTCCTACGCTTATCATATAAATTCTTCTGGTTGCCTGTTGTTTTTCGCTTCTGGTTCGGTTCAGTTCGGTTCGGGCTACGCTCTCCTGATCCTATGCCATAACAAAAAGGCTAAAAAGTTTAGTTGCTGCCGGCTCCTGTTATTGAAGGCTTAAGCGTCCTGCCAGCCGTCGAGTTAGTTAGCAGAAGCCAAAGCCTCCGTCCTACATCCTCCATCTAACATCCCCGCAGCCCGTATCCTGTATCCCGTAAACAAAACAAACACACACATCTAACGTAAAATCAACGCTAGACGAAAACAACAGCAGAGCTGTAGGGGTATGATATATGTCCCTATTAATGAAATACCACACAGTAGAATATATGTTTACACAAAATAGTTTATAGTTTTATTATTATATTATTTCACAAGTTTTATCTGGTCAGGATCACTGCTGGCATTCAACTAACTTCGCTCTCAGCTCACGACTCGCACCAACCCCCGACTCTCTGAGAGAGTGAGTGTGGTGAGATCGCAAGAGAGAGAGTAAGCTCTACAACAACAACAACGTACTCTAAGAATATTCAGGAATGTTCTAGAAGGAATACAATAACTTATACATACATACATACTACTACGTAGCCATCCTGCTACAATTCGGCCGTCCTGACATTTCAAGATCCCCTGATCTTGGTTTAATTTACAATTGATTTCATCTAAAATTATCTTACATACTATCAGTCTTTAGCTTTACAATTCTTTGGATATATTTACAGCTATTTTCGTTTACCAATCCAATGCTTAATATTTTGACTACTCCAGACTCCTTGATAAGGGCAACGCGACAATTGAAAACCTTCCACATCTTTTATTACATACCTATCATTTCTCAAAACTTTATCTATAACATAAGGACCCTTGTGTTTGGGTATTAGCTTCCTTGCGACTCCTACTGCATTATCGAAATTTTTCACCATAATATAATCGCCAACTTTGTACTCTAAACTATCCTTCCTTTTTTCATTGTATCTTCTTTCGTTGTCATTTTGTAATTTGATTTGCGATTCCACTCCATTTTTCCTAATTTTGTCTAAATCTCTAACATCTCTAACATCACTAACATTATCTAATTCTTCTAACTTTTGCCTCAATTCATCAATAACTTTTCCTTTCTGTTCGATTCCAAACAACATTTTACTCGGCATTTGTGCAATGCTTCTTTGCTTTGTATTGTTCAATGAAAATTCAACGTCCTCAACAACTGTATCCCAATGCAGTCCTCTTTCCGGGTCTGCTAATTTAGCTATCATTGGCCCAATTATTCTATTAATTCTTTCCACTTGCCCATTGGCCTGAGGTGACCCAGTCGCAATTTTTACGTGCTTAATATTATATTCTTCGACAAATCTTCCAAACTCTTCCGATGTAAAACAGCTTCCTCTGTCCGAAACGATACATGTTGGCCTGCTGTACGACCTAAAATAATCTTTCATTGCTATAATAACTTCTTTTGTGTTCGTCGTCTTTGTTGCATATAGCCTAACGTATTTAGTAAAACCGTCTATCACCACAAACAAATGTTTCTTTGATCTTCCATTATCAACCGGTCCGTAATGATCAATATGTATAATTTCGAATGGCACATTTCCTTTTGGTATGCTGTGCAACATTCCTTCCCCTTTTCCTGACTTTGGCGAATATGCCACACATCTCAAACAATTATCAATATGTCTAACAACTTTTTCTTTCATATTCGGAAACCAATACGTCCTAACAATAGCATCCATAACCTTGTCTCGTCCTAAATGACCTAATTCATTGTGATATTTGTATAATATCTTGTCCTCCATTTCTCCTGGCACACAGAATAACAATTTCCCATCATTTGATTTTCTATAAATAACTCCATTCCTCATCTCAAACATTTTATCTTCCTCTTTTTCTAACTTTTTCTTAACATCTTTCAACTTCTCATCTTTCGCTTGACAAATAATTAAATTGTCTTCAAAACTATTCGTTTCTACTACCAGTATATTCGTATTCCTACTTAACGCGTCTACGTGTTGCATAAGTTTTCCCGATTTATGAACTAACTCAAAGTCATACTCAAGCAATTCTAATGCCCATCGTGCAATTCGAGGGTTTAACTCAATCCTATTTAATGTTAACGTCAGTGAGTTACAATCAGTAACTATTCTAAATCGTCTACCCTGCACATAAATTCTAAATCTTCGTAGAGCATAAATTATTGCTAACGTTTCAAGTTCAAAACTGTGATATTTTGCCTCGTCTTTTGTTGTGGCCTTTGAAAAATAAAAAATAGGGTGCAACTTTTTGTCCTCTTTCCTTTGTAGTAAGACCGCTCCAAAACCTTGTGCGCTTGCATCTGTATGCAATTCTATCTCGTCTTTATAATAATATAATCCTAACACTGGCGCTTCAACTAACATTTTCTTAAGCATCTCAAAACATTGTAGTTCCCTTTCTTCAAATGCAAACTCTTTATCTTTCTTTAACAGGTCATATAATGGTTTTGCGATCATCGAAAAATTCTTAATGAATCTCCTAAAATACGAACATAAACCTAAAAAGCTTCTAACACCATGTACTTTATCTGGAACAGGGAAATCTCTAACAGCTTCTATTCCTTTATCATTAGCTTGTATTCCTTTGCTGGTTACTAAAAATCCTAAATATTGTACACTTGCTTGTAAAAACTCACATTTGTCCATTCTCAATTCTAGTTTGTTTCTTGCTAAACGATCAAAAACTTCCCTAAGAACATTTAAATGTTCCTGTATCTCTTTACTGGCGATCATAATGTCGTCCATATATATTACTACCTTACCATCCCTAATCATGTCCGCAAAAATTGTATTAATAAATCGCTGAAACACCGCAGGAGCATTTTTTAGCCCCATTGGCATCCGCATAAATTCAAATTGTCCTAATGGCGTCATAAATGAAGTATATTTTATTGAGTCATTGTCCACGAACACATGAAAGTAGCCATGTTTTAAATCTAATTTCGAAAATATTGTTTTATTTACTAAAGTGTCTAACAAATCATCTATTAACGGTAAAGGATAGTTATCTTTAATCATTGTCTTATTAAGTTTTCGATAATCCACACATAATCGTAAGTCGCCTGTTTTCTTTTTTACTAACACTATTGGAGATGCGTACTCCGATTGACTTGGTCTTATAATTCCCTCGTTTAAATATTCATCCAATATAATCTGTAACTTTTCTTTTTCTGTATAAGCTAAACGTCTGGGCGAACAACTGAAAGGTTTTGGATCCTCTAATCTTAATTTTATTTCACATCTAACTTCGGGTTCCTTTGGTCTCTGTTTATTTACATAACAACTTTCTACCATTCTAACAAACTGACACCTAACATTATAATTAACTTGATTGCCAATTTTGTAATCTGGACTTTCATCTATAATATTAATATTAAATAATTCCTTTGCCACTAGATCTATTTCATTGCTATTCGTAACTATTTCTTTATCTGTAACTTTACTAACTTTTCTAATCATCCGCCTATTGTCGCTAATTTTATCACTAATATTGCTAACTATCTGGTTTTCATGACTAACAAAATCACTAACAATCTGATTTTCTTCTCTAACATTTCTAACAATATCACTAACAATGTGCTTTTCTTCTCTAACATTTCTACCAATATCACTAACATTTGGAGGGTTTTCAATGCTCTCAACCGTAACCATTTTCAAAGTGTCGAGGTTTAAATTAATATTACATGCTTCCATAAAATCTCTTCCAAGGATTACATCATGACTCATAGATTTGTTTGCCACAATAACTAAATGAAAATGAATTTTATTTAAGTTTTTCATAACGTAACATAATATTTTTCCATAGGTTTCTAAGTAACTCTTATTTAATCCATGATATAAATTTAAAACTGGTAATTTGCAAACATTTTCTGGTACTTTTGATATTTTAATAAATGAAATCGGGCTCCCTGTATCTATGAGACATTCTGTAGTTAACTTGGTATTAATATCATTCATAAAATTGATTTCAACGTATCTTACATAATTATTATTGCCTGTGTTCTTATTTTTGCTCTTCAAACACGTCGCCACAAAATGTCCCATCTCGCCGCACGCATAGCACGATCCTTTCTCCCGTTTTGACTTCCTGCACTCGTTCGCCCAATGCCCTTTGGCATTGCAATTGAAACATCGTGTCTCCTTCTTGTCCTTGAAGTCCAATGATGTCATCGGTTTTCCAACATATTTCGGCAGTCTAACATCCGCAAATGCTCGCTTTATGTGCCCAACATCCACAAAGCTTTGAATGTGCGCCAGATTGCGCAGCCCTTGATTTGTAATACCTTCGATGATGCAGCTCAACATTTCATCTCCATCAATATTAATGCCCTGAGCAAGCATTATCTTGTCGTTAACATAACTCCCGAACGTCTCGCCTGCACTCCATTTGCGATGCTCAAATTTGCGCCTTATCTCCAGCTTTGATGATTTTTCGCCAAACATTGCGATCAGCTCAGCCGTCAATTCCTCCAATGGTAACAAAACACGCCCAGCATTTGCGTGCAACCAAACATTAGCTTTGCCTTTAATTTTGCTAATCATCAACATTTTTATATAATTTCCGGTTATACCGTAGATGCTTGCGATATTATATATCCGAGTGATCCATTTGCGCGCACATGATTCGCCCGCAAACTCACACAACACTTGCGTAGCCATTCTCAACGAAATGTCTATACTTTGATTAAAATTGTTCTCCATCTTTTCTTTCTCTCCAGCTTGGTTCTGCATGTTCACTTCTGCACAGTTTCGATTTCTGCCTCCACCTTTGTTCTGTTCGCCGTCTCTTTTGTAGCTTCTTTCACCTCTTGTATCCTCGCCAGCTTCGCTTTCGTTTTCTCCATCTTCGCTTATATATTCCCGAACTTTTTCACCGTCTTCGCCTTTGTCGTTCTTTTCGCCAACTTTGTTCTTGCCTTCTCCATCTTCGCTATTAATTTCGTCGCCTTCTTCCTCTTCGTAATCCTCTTTACCGCCGTCTTCGTTGTTACTTTTGCCGCCGTCTTCTTCCTCGAAATTCTCGATGCCGCCGTCTTTGCAGTTACTTCTATCGCCGTCTCGTTCTTGGAATTTCTCGTTGCCTCCGTCTTTGCAGTTACTTCTATCGCCGTCTCGTTCTTGGAATTTCTCTTTGCCTCCGTCTTCTCCTTTACTTTTTTCGCCGTCTCGGTTCTCCTTCATTTCGTTAAACTTATTGCGTTTTTCGCTCGGTAATTTGTTTAAACGTAAAATCAACTCCTGTTTTGAACCAGTCGTTGAACATTTTAATACACTTAACCATATTTTTAATTGTTTTATCGATACTTTGTTCAAATCCATTTTATTTTATTAAATTGTTTCACTTTCTTAGTTTTTAAACTTGTAGTTTTTAATTTGTTTGGCACGTGATCGGCCCACTTCTGATTTTGTAGGGGTATGATATATGTCCCTATTAATGAAATACCACACAGTAGAATATATGTTTACACAAAATAGTTTATAGTTTTATTATTATATTATTTCACAAGTTTTATCTGGTCAGGATCACTGCTGGCATTCAACTAACTTCGCTCTCAGCTCACGACTCGCACCAACCCCCGACTCTCTGAGAGAGTGAGTGTGGTGAGATCGCAAGAGAGAGAGTAAGCTCTACAACAACAACAACGTACTCTAAGAATATTCAGGAATGTTCTAGAAGGAATACAATAACTTATACATACATACATACTACTACGTAGCCATCCTGCTACAGAGCAATGGGTCGTCAGTCAGGAATCTGAACAGAGATTGCACTCAGAGAAAATGGAACTTCTTTGAACTTGGAAAAAATATATTTCAAACATTTAATTTCTTGCAAAAATACTTCAAAATAAATATTTAAGTAATTGTAAAAAAAGGTAAATATTATACACCCAAAAAAAATCTTGATATGAAAGAATGATCGATTTGATGTTATGTGGTATCAATTATACTCGATATTTGTATGCAATACCAGAAATTTACCATGCGCATATCGATTTCATTCTTTTTTGTATGTTTATGAACTGAAGGTTTCCGAAATTTCATTCCTCTGCTTAAAGATTTCTCTCAGTGCAGCCCCCTGGGCTATGTAGTCGAGAGTCCAGCTCCCTTATCTGGCAGGTCATTGATGTGCTGTGCTGATGCAGTTGCAAGTGCATTTACTCCTGACCGATGACGACTAGAGACTTGGCTTAAAGCCGTCCATGGCGAATATTGTTGCATAGTTTTTGTGACACGTACGTCGGGTGGAGGGACTGCTCGGAGTAGTCCCAATAATTTCCATATCCTGTGCAACTCTGGCTCTAATGTATTAACCGACCACAGCTCCTTGTGGCCTGCCAACACGCCATTTGGCCATATCTCCGAGCCATTCCCAGAAGGGGGACGTGTAAGGGAGACAGATAGCAGTTTTATGCGTTCCTTGCCCCACCACCACCACCGCCACCGCACTTCACTTACATACTATATATACGGCTCATATACTTTACAAATCTTGATAAGTTAATAGAAGACGTCGGAGGAGGAGGAGAATTTCCAGAAAGCAAAGACATGTTTTGGCCAGTTTGGCTGACGACGGGGTGTTTGCGTGGAAATTTGGCACATTAAGGCCAAGAGTGAGAGTCAGAGCAGCCGAAAAGTAAAATAATATGAAAAGTCTCATAAAAATAACAACGGGGGACGCGGCCACCGCAACAGGGGAGAAACAAGTTTTTCGAACGAATTTCGTTTGCTTTTATTCTGGCGACAAGTTTTCTCGGCGTGTGTTAATTTAGGTGAAATCAATATTGGGGGCGTAGGTGGCGTTCTAACAACATTTTATATATAAAGGCAGAAGCAGCAGCGGGGGAAATCTATAAAAATTAACGAGCTGCAAGTAATGGCAGCATACTTTCTGTCATCAAATGCGCTCTGCTGCCTTCAGCGGCCATTGTTTCAAAATGCGAAAGCCTGTCTGTCTGTTTAGTATTATAATGCCATTATCATTTTTATTATTGCATTTTAAATGCATTCTTTTTTTCATAATTTTTAATGCCCAGTCAGAGGGCCACAGCTCATTAAGCAGGGATAACTGCAAGGAGCGGCGACTGTCTTGGCTTGTCGGTGGTGCAGAAAAGATTAATGTTCCTCACGTGTCCTGCGCCTCGCCTCGGTCCTCGCTGTGTCCTTTCCCACAGTGTTGCCCTGCTCAAAGTCGCTTCAAAGTCATGTGCATGATTCCGTAGGATTCTCGGAGCCATCTGCTCCTCCCGCCGACTGCATTTAAAGTATGTGCAGCTTATATTCCAGCTTTGTTTGTTTTTTTCTACCCCTGTCCATAAACAGCAATGGCCCAGAGCCAGGTCAATCACTCCACATCACGCCAAAGAATAAAGAAAGGAAGCTGTTGCCGGATTTCAAAAGGAACATGGGAAATTAGATTGGCCAGAGTCAAGCGAGGAGCTTGATTCTTAACTCGGTTAAATATTTTTAGGACTTTTTAACACCCAAGAAATACTTGATATGAAACGATGATCAATGTGACATTATGTGGGATCAATTTTGACTTGATACGAGGTTAGGGAATATGCGAGAGAGAGAAATCGGCAAAATGATATTATTTAATATCAATTTACCAGAATTATATGCGCATGAATACCAGAAATTGATTTGATCCCGTTTGTTTTCTGTGTGTATTAATTCAAGCAATAATATATCAAATTATCCTGAACTTTAATCTAAAAAGTGTCATAAATCAATTCGTTTTATGGCCCTTAAAGTTATAGTTCCCACCTTAAGCTTTAAATCAGTTACTTACTCCCACATTGTTGCGACCACAACAAACTGTAACTGAAACGCTCGACAATAACTGAAATGTCCTGCACCTGAAAACGCCCCCCAATACCCACCCCCTGCCAAGCTGACCCCAGCACTCGTAACTATTACCATAACATTTATGATTATTAACCTACAATGCGGGGCACTCTAAATGCAATTAAGATTACGATCTATATTGCATTTTCTGCGCTGCAAAAAGAAGCCTGGCAACTCTGCCACGACAAACAATTAAAAACAATGCGCCTCTATCCTTCGTCCCCCGCGCTCCGCGACAATAAAATGCTGTTCCAGATGTTTATCCAGACCGGGCGCCCATATTGCATAAGAAATAATTACTTTTTATATTACACATACGCCCCCGCTGCCCGCGGACCGCCGGAACTCATCTAAGTCTATTGATTGCGGTCACAATTTCACCTTTCTGGCCCCTCGCCACCCCTCATAATATCATCACACGAAAGTGTCGCGTTTGCGTGTCGCTTATCATTGGGCTCTTGGCCAAAACAAAAATGAAGACACCCCAAAAGCCGAGAGCCAGGGCAAAAAGCGTCAGACAATTGCCGCACCGATAAGATCGCCCAAAGAGAAATGTTTTTGTGTGGCGTCCAGTCGGACAGCACCTGGCTGGAAGGAAGGCCAAAAGGACCTTAATCGTGGCTAAGCCGCGTCAACTCTATTCAATAAGGCGGAATGGCTCATAAATTGGATGGGGAAGGGAGAAGGGGGACACAATACGGCTTAGTTCCTTAAGATACCTTTTAAATTGGGTTTTTTAGAGCAAATAATTATATTGAGTTAGCTTTAAATTCAATACTTTACGAAATGCTTTTATTGTAATTTTATTAAAAAAAATTTAATAAATTTACAAATAGTTAAGCCAGTATTTAAAACTTATATCAAATTAAATTTAATACTTTTTAAAAAATGTTTTAACTTGAATTAATTTAAATAAAATAAGAAAAATTAAATTTTTATTTGAGTAAAACGTATTTATCCTATGAAAAGTAAGCATTGTACCGTTAAGGAGTGAGAGCATATTTCCTTCGGTTATTTCAGAGCTGCGCTTCAGTCTCCCGTCAAAGGTAAACATCAGCCGGCTTCTTCCCATCAAAAACGTCTACGTCAACAAACTTGACTTTTGGTATTTTATGCAAATGTTTCAAGTGTCACGGACTAAAATGGCAATTGAAACGCTAATGATGACATTTGGCAGGCCTAAGCAGCGGGCCAAGGAAAACAAAATAACAAACTAAAAACAAAACAGAGAGCGAAACAGAAAGAGACAGAGATAGAGAGGATTCGTGTGCTTTTCCGTTTCCTGTTGGCGCTGCGCTGGGAAAACATAACAAATCGTTTTCTTTTCGTTTTCGCTCTGGCCCCGTTTTGTTTTCCTTTCAAACAAGGAAGTTTCCTTGTAGGCCTCTGGCATTTTTACGAGGCATTCAGCCAATTGACAGGCTTCAGTCGCTCGTAAAAACAAAATCAAGCAACGAAGAAAAATGATGCGCAAAGCGCAGAGGAAAAACTGTCGAAGGGAATGAAATGGGAAACTATATGGCCGTTCGAATCGCCTAAAAGTATACTTAAATATTTAAGAGCGAGCGGGGGCGAGGGCGAAGTAAAAGTTTAAAAAACATTAAAACGCATTTAGCAGGCTGTTCTGGTTCTGTGGACCTTCCATGTATATAAAAGGGAACGTACATATATATACGGGGAACCGAATCTGTTTGCCCCGCCCATAAATACTTATTATCGCTTATTTGAACTTGCGAATGCTGCCAGCAGCGATGCTTGTGATTTACTTTTATTTGAGCTGGCTTTTCCTTTCCTTCGCTGCTTTTCCGTCTCCTGTATTTTGTGCGTGAGTTGTCAGTGCGAAAGTGTGTGCGAAAAAAATCGATTTTTATTTCGTCTGCTCGGGAAAAAGGTCAAAAACAATAAAAGCCTAAATACACATACGAGCCTTTGAACTGGCTTTGATAAAAGCAACGCAGTCTCAGCCGCAGGAGAGAAAAAAAGGAAAGAATGGAAGTCCTGGGAGGAGTTTTCGCGGAGGGGGAGGGTAAGCCTCCAATCAATGGCTGTGCGTCGCTTTTGGTACGTGTGAATTTAAGCTGATTAAAGAATTGAGCTCCTCCGCCCGAGCAAAAGGAAGAAAAGAAGAGACGAGAAGAGACGAGCAAGGAACAACGCAGAAAGGCAGAAATTGATGTCTGCTTTTAGGCGTAGATGCTGCCTTGGCTTTATTTATGCCTTTTGTCTGGGCTCGGAGGCTTTGTTATTTGGGGCTTAGTGGCGAATATCCCGTCCTTTTAATTTGCACCCCACAAGAAGAAAAAACACATGTGGGACAGATAAAAGAAGTGGCAGCCGCAGCAGCCGCGGTCGCAGCTGAAGCCAATCATCATTGGCAGTCAATCTATATTACAAATTCAATTGAATTTGTCGCTCTTTATTTGCGCTAATCAAATTGCGAGGGCTGCCATAAAAATGTTGACACTAATAAGGCCGCAGTGGCAGGTAGAGAAAGTGTGTCGTCTACTTTATGGTCAAAGGGATACATTTCGGCAAACGGTAGCGGGAAAATACAATTCAAATGCGTAATCAGGCGTTAGAACTGGGGGCTGGGGAAAGTGAATGGCAGCAAACGAAATGAGAAAAGTTTTTTTTGTCGAGGTCGAGGAGGAGTGCTGTTATTATTATTATTAGTTTTCGCCCTAAAACTTTCGCGCAGCCTGCTTATTAGCAGGCGGCGTGGAAGGGGTTTCTGTTTCATAGCTCATTGCTTTTCAATTTGATCAGACGTTGTCTATAATGAGCTCTCGAAAAAGTTTGCTCTCGCCGGGTCGTGGAAACCCCACCATATGCGGTCTACATATATGGTTCTCCTTTAATGTTCTTCCTCGGAACTTCGGCATTTTCTGGGGGTTTTTCTTTGTTAATTTTCGACTGTCATTTATCATCAGGTGAGAGGGGGATGCTAGGAAATTTTTATGGAGTTGATTTTTAATCTTTCGCAATCGTTCCCCTACAGAAACCGCCCCTCGGGCACCGCAGGAGGAAATGAATATTTATAAGTATGATGGATGAGGCGAGACGGGAAGTGCCCCAGGTGGAAGTGGGCTGGAGCGGCATCTGATTTACTGACGTGTGACAAGGAGTCAAGGATAAAGGTAAGGAAATTAATGCGTAGTTAGAAACATAAATCTGTGCGTCGTCCTTGCACCAGTACGAGGCACCAGGAAATGGCGGGGATTTCACAATTTATGTTCCGTTTGCCCGGCTAAAGGCGGATTCTTTTCGCTCACGGGTCGTATGAGTGATATTAATTTGACTTTAAGTCGCACTCTCTCGCTCTCTCTCTCTAACGTAACACGTCAACGTAAACGTAAGCGAACGTATGCAATTTACGTGACATCATTACGTGTTAGACAAGTACAAATTACGCGTAAGTGTGGGCGAAAGAGAGGGAAATGGCAGACGACAATATGAGTTTGATAATGATGAAGCATGGTGCGTGAGTCTTCGTGTGAGTCTGTGTGTGTGGGCAGGAATATCAAGATAAATAACTAAGCAAGGACATGTGTGCGAGTGTCTGTGTGTGAGTGCCAATGAAACGAAAGTCATCAGACTTAGATATGGCACAGTAGATTGCAAATGCGACAAACGTTCTCGGGACGAAGGACCGAGGACTACGGACTAAGGACTCAGGACTAAGGACACCAGATGAAAGACAAAGGCAACAAATTGTACTCGAGGTCTTGTTGGTTTGGGATTTGGGCTTCGGTTTGGCTTGGTCAAAGCCCAGACATGTCAACAATGCCTGATGCCTGCCTCAGTAAGTTAAAATTGATGAAGTTAGCAGGCTGAGATTGGGCCAACAGACCCTTTTAAATCAGTTTTCCTCCAGCGCTTGTCAACACTAATAAATATATTCATATACCTCATCTGCCCCTTTTTGGCCGCCCTCACATTTCATGCTTGATTTGAGTTTAAATAAATTACATTTCTTTGTGCGGCTGAAAAATGCAAATGTCAGCGGGTGAAAACTTGCAGCAGCCTGGTCCCGACCAGCAATTAAACTTGTCCTTGTCTAATTGCATTTTGGCCTAAGCCAGAAGGGCCAAAGCCAAAGATCCTTTCTACACACACAGCTAGCTAGCTACACACAAATACAGGCCAAGTCAAAAGTCGCAGGACTCGGTGCCGAGTTGCCAAGTGCTCTGCTGATAGCGGCCCAAAAAGTTTAGCGCTTTAATTTCTTAGAAATTTGTTCCAACTCGGATGGGGCAAACAAAGTAACAAACAAAAATGTCGACTTGATTGCGTCGCTGATGGTTTGGTGGGCTCGTTCTCGTTCTCGTTCTCGTTCTTGGGCTACGAACCAAGTCAAAGTCCAAGCTCTAGTCCTATAGACCAGGTCCACAATTGTGCGGACAGATTGCCGGCAAGTTGCCGTCGAGTTGAGCTGAGTCGAGAGTTGCTTCAAGTTCCCAATCCCCAGCGGATTAGAAAAGTTTAAATTGTTGCCAGCGAAAGGAAAGAGAGGGCAAAGGAGCCAGAGCCAGAGCCAAAGCGAAATCGAAGCGGCCAAAGAAGAAGAAACGGATGAATAAAGGGAGCAACGTAACGATTAGTGCTTTCATGTCCTTTGCCAAAGTTTAAAGGTCATCCGGAGGAGGGTCCTGCCTGCGCTCGCTGCTGATTTGACACATCAACTTTGTCAAGGTTTTTTGCACCACACAGCCACCAGCGACAGCGACTGTTATGAGCAATGGCTTTCGAAGTCGCAGTCCTGGAATGTCCTGGTGTGTGTGTGCACTAGCAATTTGTGCAATGGACATTTTCGGGCGCTGGCATTCTCTGCTCGGCAGTGATAAGCGCTGCCAGCTGCAAAATGTCTTAAAAGATTGCGGAGTGCACTGACTTTCGGTCCAATTCAGCCCGTGGGGCATCCTGCGATGATTGCGAAATGTGTAGCATACTTTTGTGCGATTGTACCTTTTGCTTTGCTTTGCAGGGGGGTGGGGATTTTGTGGGAGGTTGAGTGGGGTTCACCCACAGCGGGTGGCAAATATTGAAATTACTTTGAAGCTGCTGCATAATGAGCCTGTCAATAAGTTTATCAAAGCAACAACTACTCGGCCCACGACGGCCTGACCCAAAAAACAAAGTTGAAGTGCTGTGTAAATTATGCAAATCTTTATCATTCTTTTTGCTGCTGCGGCGAGAAGGGGGACGGGGACGGGGGTGGGGCTGGCAGATCGAGGGGACTTGGGTCGATGGGCTGTCACAAACAAGCGTGAAGCACGACAACTGTGTGCGAGGGGCCCAGTAAAAACAATATGGCGCCCTGGCCAGCGAGGCCTGCCCTCTTTTCTACCCCCGCCTGACTGCCATTGACAGTTCAACGTTGTTTTGCTATACGCTTTTCCCATTTTCTCTACCTTTCCAAAGTATTTTTTCGAGGTTCGCTTCGCTTTGGTTTTTTCCTGTTTTTTTTTTCTTCTCCCTTCTTTTTTTTTTGTGAAATGTCAAATTTTTGCAGACAGTTTTGACAGTTTATCGAAGTGCGCCCGTAATTTTTGCTGACGTGTGTTGTAGGTGTTGAAAATAGCAGCAGAGTGTTTAGGTGTGAGTGGGAAAAACTTTGGCTGGCTCTGCACTTTTCGGCTGAGTGCTTTGGCACAAAAACTTTCCCCCACAAACGAAAGACGGGTCAAGTTTTTCGTAATTATTTGTTTTCGGGTCACCTATGGAGACTCACAAATTGATTTTCTGGCTGGGGAGTCCTTCTATGTATATAGGTGGGGCATAAATGAATATGGCAGGTGATTACTTACCGCTGCGACTTTCATTTTCAGCTGGCTTCAGCTGTAAAGCACGGTTCATCTGCAAAGACAAAAAGAGAAAGAGGGGAAATTAATATATGGCAAAAACAAGAGATTTTGCTAATGCTAACGGGGCTAGCAGGAAAGTCCATTAAATCATGGTGGTTGCCCCCACCCGCCCCTCAAATTCAATCAGCTTTCGTTGGCGGTCGAGCGAGGACGGACGACTCTTCATAAACACCTCCCAAAACACATTTGGCCAGCGAAGCATTTTCAAGCATTTAAATGCCACTCAATATGCAAGCCCATCTCCTGATGTCCTGGCCCCTCCTCTCTCCTGCACATTTGCGCTCATTGCCTTTTACCCACGACTGGGCAGCCACATCCTGTGCCGCTTCATGCATCATTAAAGCTTAAATCTCACCCAAGCGACCCATGTCGATTCTGGCCAGCCAACACTTAACGTCCTCTCTCTCTCTCCCTGCTCATCATCCACTCGGGATTGGGATTGGAAGTGGAAGTGGGATTGGGCCTCGAAGTGGGGTGGATGGATATGGTTCTGGGACGGCTACGTGTTGTGGTCACCTTTTGGTTTATGGCAAATGAGTAATATGCCCGTGCCAGAGCACGAAAAATCCCATTAAAAGACGTTCAAATGAAATGCATTAAAATAAAACTTAATTGAGGGCTTTATAGGGGAATGTTCGAATAGGTTGGTGGGTTGGTTGGTGGGTTGGCCACCCCCAAAAAACCGCAGAAACCCGACCAAATCAATAATCAGCCAGAAGGAGACCCTTTTAGTCCCTCTATATCACTCTCCCAGGTGTAATTTATTTGCACCACACCACACCGCACACTACACCGCACAAAATGGGCGGCTCCGGGCACGCCCCTTTGTTTCCTGGCCTTAGATTGGCTCATCACCAGAGGAGGTCCTGGGTTCGAGTCCTGTCATTAGCCGACAGGAGCCAGGAGCCAGAACCCAGAAGCATGAAAGTCTGTCGTCTCATCGCCTGCCGCTTGTCGCATGAATATTTTATAATCAGCCATTAGTTTGCGGCAATTGAAAATGATTGAAGCTTTTAACTGCAAAATTCAATTGCTTTATATAACCGTGAGCGGGTGGGCGAATGGCCCTTTGCACCACCCCCTCTCCCTCCCCATCCCCTTGGCAATATGAAATATTTAATGGTGTAGTTCGCTACGGATTGGTGTGTGTTTTTTTCGGAACAATCCATTAGTCAGAGGCGAGTAATTAAAATTGCGATTTATGCACGCGCATGGAGCCGAACAATTTTCGGGGGAGCTCTCTGGGCTTGTTTGTAATTCAATTATGTTAATGATTGGACAACATTTACCGTATTTACATTAATGCATAATGAATGAGAGGGAGGCCCCAACAGAGTGTGTGTGTGTGTTCCTCTTTTTTTTTTAAATTGTAACTGCAGCTGGAACTGAGGGTCCGCTAAACACGGCTAACGGCAATTAAGTGCATTTCTCTGTCTGACCAAGGGAATGCCGAATCGAGTCCCCCGTCCAATCATCCTCCTCTCCTGGCCAGACAACACACAAATGCGCTTTTGCCTTGCTCAAAGCTCAGCTGGATAAATTAAGTGGTCGATGAACTGAAGCCTTGTTGATTTTATACACCATGTGCCATGTTGTTGACAGCAAAGGAAGGGGGAGTGGGGACTGGGGAGCTGTGGTGACGCCGCAGAATTTAAACCAATGCTTAACCGAAAAATGTTCATTTAGTCGCACGTCCTGCGCGAGGGATGCTCGTCCTGCTGCTCCTGCTGATGAATGATTGATGTGGCGTGGTTTAATAAATTGGAAAATGTTTTCAGCTCAAGTTGAGCAAGTCGGCATCTCAAAGGCACAGAGAGCTAAGCTAAATGCAGGTTGTGGCCCCCGTCTGACGAGCACTATCCATTCTCTGGGCTTTCGACTTTGATTTTTTTTTTTTCGATTTTTTGAAGCCTTTATCAATGCCGGAAGCCCGCAGCTGGCTGCCACATCAATTGGCTGGCTTTGAGTGCAAAAACAACAAGCAGTGAAATCAGTGCAGCCAGCACAAAATACATACATATATTGATCTGCTTTTCCCTTGGTTAATGAACTTCTGCAAATTTATGAAGGGCAACCGAAAAATGGAAAAAATGCTGCACATTTTCTGTAAATTTCTGAATATTCAACTTGACTACGCAGGATGCCCAGGATCCCTTCTAAGGCATCTCTCTGACTCTGCACAAAAGTCTGGCTAATTATTAGCGCCAGGCGAAAGGCTTCCCCTCAGTCTTCTGCTTTTGGCCGCGTAATTAGCGCACATAATTTGAAATTTAAATGTTGCCAAAAGCCGAAGCCTTTGAGAGTCAGAATGTTAATTAAATCTGGCTCTCTCTCGCTGTTTCTCCTCTTCTTTTTTTCGGGGGGAATCAAAAGATGCCTGCCTCGACACAATTAGCCTTCACAATTGCTTATGACAAAGTGTCGTTTGTGGGTGGCCTTTTGGGTGGCAAGATGTTGCAGTCGACAGTTGAGAGTCGACAGGCGCCAGTGGCAACGTTAAACCGCAAATTTTAGCGCCCCAGCAAGTCGAGCATGACGAGGGGTCGAGGCGTCGAGGGGTTGAGAGGTCGAGGGGTCGAGACTAGCCGCAGTGTCGCCGCCTACGCATATGCAATGCCTGAAAGTGCCAACTTGGCCAAGTGCTCTGTGAGCCCTCCCCTTTTTGGCCGGGTGCCTTTTTGGGTGCATGGACCCATAAACTGCGTTAGTTTATGATGCCCGAGCGCTAAGTGAGCAAAGCGAAATACGCAGAGAGACAGCGCCAGAGATCCCAGAGATCCAGTCAAGCCGTAAGTGCCTTCCTAAAATCCCCGCCAGCCCCCTTCTCCAGAACCGAACTCCACTATACCATCCCATAGCCTCCTAACCCATCAGCCTGTGCAATTAGAATGCGGCGCATTGAACCAGCCAGCAGGGCACAAAAAGCCGGAGAAAGAGCTTTCAGACCGCTTTGGTCAGTGTGGTGTGTTGTTGTTTTTATGCATTCGCTGGTCGAACTACATAAAACGGAACAACGAAAATGCAATTAAAACTACGTTTTATGGCTTTGTTATGGCAGCGGTCCTTTCGCCTCCTTTCTCCAACCGCCTTTCTCCACTAAAGCACATGAAGAGCGATTTTTATGATGCTTTCTCCACTCGATGATGATGATAGTTTGGAAAATGGTTTCGAATTGAGTGGGGCCCCGGCAACTTTTGTTGATAGAAAAGTAATATTTTATGGGGTTAGCTCGAGGGTAAACTGCTGGGCTGGGACTTTGATACTAGGAGGTTTGCTTATTGAAAACGCCGCTCGGTTCTCGCTTCTCGCTTCTTTTCTAACAAAAATCATCAAAGTTTTATGCAAAAGTTTTTTGAGCTGCTGCTTGTGGACACACAGATACTCGGCGAAAGTCTCCCTCTCCCTTACTCTTTCTCTCCGTATCTCCCGATGGAGAAATTTGTCACTGGGAAAAGCACCTAAAAGTAGACAATGTTGCCTCAAGCATCTGTCATGTGTGCGGAGTGGGTGGGGTGTTCCAGAATCCACCAGCTGGAGGTAAAAGCAAAACAAACTAACGAGCTAGCAAGCAAAACAAAAGCTTGTAGAGCAGCTACTCTCCGCTCTAACAACCTGCCATAACTGCAGCTTAATCAAAAGTTTTTCACTGCCTCCTCAGCCACAGAAGAGAGATTCAGCTTCAGCTCCAGCTGGAGGGCAATCCAACCATCCGACCATCCGAACAACCGCAACTGCATCATCCTCCGTGATCCTGCTCCTCCCTTTTGATACTAATCAGTGGCTGCTTCTTCCACTTTTTACGCTGTCTGGTCTGCTCTGCTCTGTTCTACCCCGGTCCACGTTCAATGGAGAATATCTATATTCTTTATGTATCTCGATGTATGAAATATGGCTAGTGTATATAAGGGCTGTAACACAGGGCTCTTGCCTCGGCGGGAGTTTGCAATTAGCAAGTGGCAATTAAAGTTCTGGCATTGAACCTTGGCCACGGGCAGGCGTGGCCAGAAGAATGTTTATTGGTTCATATATTATCCGTTGGGCCAGACAGAAAGCAGTTAATAAGTGGTGAAAGAGGGATAAAGGATAAGAGAGAGAATCGTTCATTAAATCTTTAAGTTTTATCCTTGAGAATCCAGTGCTATACCACACCTGCGACAATCTCCCCACCTACCGAAACCCAACTCAAAGCGTATTTCATTCAAGGCACGACACTTGACTGTCGTATGACACTTGAGGGTTCCTGCTCCTGTCCGTCAGCCGGCGGTCGCCCCACCCTTTTTTGGCTGACACAAAATATGCAAATAAATTACTAATAACCTCAGAATGTAACCCTTGCACGGAAGCACTCGGAATTCCGGTGGGCGGGGGCACAGGGGGAGCTATTCCTGATTCATAATTCAAATTTTACGCCGCAATAAACAAAAATGCCTAAAATTATGCAACACAACGCCCATGAACATTGCTGAGCAAGTCATAAATTATGTAAATTTAATTTTACGCCCCCCACCGCGGCATCTATGTACGTATGTATATACACTACGTGTACATATGTATGGCGCCACGCCCACAGCCAAGTCAACCACAAAATTGTAAAACGCGCGTTCGGCCCGCAAAGAAGAAAGTATAGGCAAAGGAACGTTATTATTATGTAAATAATTAATGGCGTGTAATTATCTAAATTTCGGACAATTAGAAAAAATTAACACACACCGAAAAAACGGACAAACAGAGAAAAACACGCGGCAACGCCAGAAATTTATGACATTTTTATTATACCAAAAATGATAAAAAGCAAAAAAATAATAAAAGGGAATGGAAACGAAAGCGAAACTCCATGTAGAGCATGTCCTTTCGCCGGCTTTCACGGGTTTCCGTTACACATTTAACGCCATTTTAACGCATGCTAATGACCGACCACCTAACCTAAGCCTGGTCCTGCCCCACAAAAATACTTTGTTTACTTTCGAAAAATACGAGAGGCAACAAAATATG